CGACATGTTACTAAATCCGAACCGAACCCGACTAAACCCGAACCGAATCCGACCCGAATTTTTATAATATCCGAATGGGGCTGAAATTCATGAACCCGAAAACCCGAAACCCGAATGAACCCGAACCGAAACCCGATTGGGACCCCGATTGCCCAGCCCTAGGATGAAGATTTTAACAAAAACATAATAGAATTATGCACAAGAAAAATTAAGCTATTTCCCCTTGTCACGTTATCGTTTTGCTCTGCAAACTGGATAATAAAAGTAGAACCCAAAATCCCTTTCACATCTCTTTTTATTCTTAAAATCAGTTTATTTCTATAGAGAGACTGAATCTTCTTCTACATAGAACCCAAAGTCCCATTTAGAGTTCAAATTCTTTGTCAAAGATGTCCCACCCATCTTCCAGGAGCTCCTTACGTTCGTCGTCCTCTTTTCCCTCGTTAACCGAAGCTTCTGGGCTCTTGTTGTTGCCTGAGGCTTCAGGTGCTTCATAAGATAGGTCAAGAGGCTTCTCCAGCAATAAGCTCTTCATGGATGATACAGAAGAAGCTAGCTTACAGCTTGTCTGGCTTGAGGTGATTGATTGGCTCAACGGCACTCCGTTGTCGAATTTCTCTTTCAAGAGTCTGATGTCTTTACAGATCACATAGATTTCTCCTCTGTTCAAAGGAAGAGCCAAGACAAGTTAAGACCAATAAGTAAACAAGACTCGCCATAAAATGTATTAATAGATTTATGGGTTTCAACATTAATCTTAAATATAGCAGCTTTCACATCCTGATGCTTCACAAGGCGATGAATGTAAATTATTAGTGATGAGTAAGAGGACTTACTGTAAAGAATCAACAACCCGACCACGGTCCATAAGAAACTCTCGCAGCTGCAGACAAATAACAAGATATGTTATAAGAAGTTGTGACAACAAAATCGTTCTATCATTCAAAAGGTACTCATGTTACCTTGGAATTTTCCTCTGCCTCCTTCTGTAGAAGCTTTGATTCTTGGACAACTTTATCCATGATTGCTTCTTGTTCAGCAAGTTCCTTGCGTGCAGCACCTTCTTTTCTTTGGATCTCTTGCTCAGCAGCATTTTTAATCTCCAGGGCTGCCGCTAGTCTCAATTCAAGAACTCCACGCATCTGTAAGTAAACAGAAGAAACACAACCAGCTAAATCATACAGTATGAAACAGTGGAAGTCATATTAGGAAAAAATTAAGCGTGTGACTTGCACTGACCTCATCAAGAACAGAAAGAGACTTATCTCGTTCTTCTGATAAGCTGAGCAAGCGGTTTTCTAGCTCATTTACTTCAGTTGCTAAAACTGACCTCTCCCCATAAACTTCTCCAGCATCCTGTAGACAAGAAAGAAGAATATTAGTTCACCGGTATAAGTCTAAGCACATTACACGTAATAACAGATTATCAGTTAAGTATAGTCACCATGTCGTTTCCCTCCTTGGCATGTGCCAGAATCTTCTTCAGGTCCTCAACCTTTTTAAGGGTATCAAGGCCTCCTCTAGCAACGTCTTCCTTCACCTTCTCTGCGTCCTTTTCTTGAAGCTCAACTTCTCTCATCAGATTCATAATCGATTCCATCACAATGAACAAGGTTTTCTACACAATAACCAAATACAAATAAAAGAACTAACATTATATAATTTTGTGAAGGAAACACACCAAAACAAACTAGTTAGCATACCTTGTTACTTTTGGCATCTTCAATGATCTGTTCAAGGTGATCAATTCTGCATCCCTGGGTTGATCTACTAACAACAGAGCTAAAAGCACAACCCATCTCCGGATCACCAGCTTCAACAGCCAAGGAACCCTTCGAAGTCTCTTCCACAAGAACTGAGCCACTCAACTCTGCATCACTGTTTTCGCCAGTCAATGAACCACTTGAGGTCTCTCTCACATCATCAGAACCGTTTGGTGATTTCTGTGGAATTTCCAAACTGTCTGCTGCAGGACAAACCAACTTATCCCCAACACGTTTTGAACCTGCGCTTGTGCTTGACTCTGCTTGATTACCTGTAAAGTGAAAATCAATACCTTCCCAACAATCACTGGTCAATTTGATTCCGGCCTGCGTGGAGGCAGGGGTAGCCGAGGAAACCACTCTGGGCTCATCCGATCCGATCACTGCTTTGCTCTGAACATCAAGATCACCATTTGGCATCACATCTGTCAGCTGGTTCTTATTAGGAAGCGACTCAGTAGAAATTGGGGCCCTAGTTTCATCCTCACCATTTTGCATGTCACGTTCTACTGCATTTTTAAAGCAATGTAACTCAAACCTTCAAATCCACAAATTCATAGTGACAGAACAAAGACGTCAGAGAAAAAAAGAACAAGTACCATTGTTGTTTCCAGACTGTGCAGAATGATCAACCAAATCGGGACAAAACTTGGGAATAATCTCAGAGATAACAACAGCTGCAGCAACATCAGCATCTTTTGGGTGCTCAATAGCAACAGCTTTTAAAATCCTTGCATCAATCTGTACCAAATTGCAATTTTTTTTTTTTTTAATACAAAACATACAGATACCAAAAGATGATCCATAATCTACATGTTAGTTAAGATCAACGTTTCTTACTTTAAGTTGTTCATAACAATACAATCATGATCAGGAGGTTAAAATTTGAATAAAGGAGATTAAAAAGATGAGAGCTTTTTTTTTTACCTGTGGGAATAACTCGGTGAGAGATTGAAAGACGATTTTGGAACTCATTATGAGATCAATCTGCAATAAAAAAAAAGTTTTATGTTTTCAGGATTAAAAAGGTAAAACCCTAATTTCACAAGAAGAGAACGAGATCAAAAGCAAGCAGCGAATCGATATATACTCCGCGATTTCTAGAAGATAGAGAAGAAAACTACGAGATGGTGATCACAATAGATGAATGAATCTTCATTGAGACTCAACAATACTACGATAAAAAAGAGGCAAGGAAGAATAAGAAGATGAAACGGACCTTCCCAGAATTTGCGTTGAGGTTGATTTTGACAGAGCAAAAGGGAACGGAAAAGGCACTCTTCGGACTCAGATATTTTCGTCTTGAGAATTGTGAAGAAAAAGAGTTATTATTATTATGGATTGAGAAGAAGACCCAACCCAAGTTTAGTATAGGATTGGAGGTAACTTAGGCGGCTAAGAAAGAGACAAGAGGGTATTTTCGTTATTTCCTTGGAATTGTTAAGGGTATCTTGGTCAAGTTAGTAAATTTAGACCGACGCGGATTATTGTAGTTGAGGCCCAGATTGGTATACGGGTTCTCAGCCCATTTAACCATCAGAATTCGTAGTAACCATCAGAATTCGTAGTAGCCTCTAATAGAGCATTCCAGATACGTGTACATTGTTGGTGTGTTGTGCAGTTTTGTATACAAGATGATGTTTGATTTTTTTTTAAAACCCTTTAATTTTTCGTGTTATCTATTATGTGATGAATAAAACATTGAAAATAACACAAAATTTGATTAATATAAGAATGACGGGTAAATTCCTATGTGTTGTTATTTCATATATTTTCTTCGTAATGATTTGATTGGCCATTAATATTATTAGCGCTTTCATGTTCAAAAGTAATGGTCTATGAAGTTAATTAGTATCTACTTAGATATTTATTAATATATTAATCAAATAGTGAAAGGAAAAAGATATTAGTATAGGAAGAATTTAACAATTTCTAATCGGGCCCTTGTGGTCTAGTAAAAAAAAAAACCACGGCTGTGATTCTACCATATAGATTTGAATTCCAGAAATCGTCGATTAAAATAGAATGAAAAGACAGTTCTTAAAACTACATACCGTAGGACTTCTAATTTTTCTCGTTGTGTTCTATATTAGAACACCATTTTATAGGCATAAAATCATCAAATTCTGACAATATAGCGAAAGATTTGGTTAGAGTTTCTATTGATGCATTCAAAAACTGAAGGTTTCATTGTCATAATGACATTATGGAGCTTCATGAGCTTAACTCACATTATCACAAAAGTATTGGTAAACATCAAATTTATCACACTCCCATATCCAAGTTAGTGTGCATACCATCTCATTAATGAATTTAATTCTATTAAAAATTCTTATTATCATTATTATTTTTAGTACAAATTAAAATTCATAGGTTAAATTTGAAAATCTATATATTTCACTTGAATTTTTAAATATTTCAAAAAACAATTTAAATACATAAACCAATAACCAAAACCTTAAACCCCAATGTTGAAGGGGTTATAATATCATTTTTTAAATTACTCTTAAACCGTCTTTGGAAACTCGTCTAGTGGGCTAGTGCTAATTCCATGACTCATTCCAAAACGAGGTCCGCTCATTTTGTCTTTTTTTTTTTGAATTTTTAGGTTTAGTAAATTAGAAAAAAGACAGAAATATTCTTATCTTCTACCTAAATCTACTTTTTAACAGAGCAACAACTGTCCTTCCTTTTCTTTTCAGATTTTGTTGTTTAATCTTATTACTAGGATAAGACCTGCGACTTACGCATGATGAATATATGTAACTAAAATATAAAATTTTAGTATTGACAAATTTAAAATTTACATATGATTATTTTATATGAATTTGAAATTTTAGAATTTTAAAATTTTTATATAATTATCTATACGTAGGATCGGAAACAATTGTAATTAAAATTGTAGATCAAATTTTAGAATTTAATGAACTCGATTTCATATATCTTTTCATTTTTCAGTGTTCGAGTGACGGAAAATAAAAGGAGTGTCATTGGGCTTGATTGGTAGAGTATTAGCAAGTTTCCTAATGTTTTTGTAAGAAACAGTTGGTAAAATACTTGCATTTAAAATACATAAAGTTTCAAAACTAATTTAATATAATTTATTTATTTGTCTAATAATATTAGAAAACTATATTTTTACAAATTATTTTTTTAAAAAATAATTTTATAAAAAATTAAGTTAAATTTTAAAGTATTTTTAAAAACAATATTTAAGGTTTTCAAATACAAATAAACAATTTAAAATTAATTATGGTCATGATTTAACATAACTATAATGATTTAAAAAAAATTAACAAATTAAAAATTAACTCAGTTTTATATCATGATTTAACAATTTAAAAATTAACTATGGTTATGAGAAGTTTACGTTCACATGTCAATCCTATTTATTTTCAATTTTTTCTCTTGTTGTGTTTTTTTATATTTTGGTTATTACTCGATATAAATATTTATTTTGAAGTTTATTCTCATTTCTTTTGTTTGTTTTGACCTGGGATTTAGAAAATACTTAAGATTTAAAATAATTAAAGAGATAAATACTTAGATTAAAATCTGCACTTTATGCACAATAAATATTTTATATTTATTATTTATTTTATATTTTTCTGCATATTATAAAATAATAAAATAATAAATATCTATATTAAATAACTAAGAAATCAGTTACTATTATTTAATAAATTGACGTATGCATATAAATTTAGCTATCACTTTGTTTATTCGCAATTAAGGTAAATAAATCAAAATAATCAATCTTATATATTGTATATGATATATAATTAAATTTAAATGATATAAACATAGTAATATAGCACACTTTTAATATAGATATTTATTAAATGAGGTTTTTACTCATATGATTTTATGATTGTTTGCATATTTGTGTAACAAAACTTTACACTAACGATTTTTTTTTAATGTGAGATGTTTAGTAGTTTCAATAATTTATAATCATTTTAAAAAAACAATGACATGTTTCAAAATTAAAATATTAACTTTTCAATATATGTGCAAGGAAAATATCAAAATATAAGTATGTATTTTCATACGATATACAGTTTAATTAAAACGATATGAAATATATATATATATATATATAAACTAAAATTATTTCTTCATATGGTCTTTTAATCATTATATTTTAATATAGAAAAAAATTAAAACGTTGATCCTAAAAGTTTATGTGAGACTTTTAACAATTTTAGAAATTTATATTCATTTTGAAAAATTCGAAATACAACATGCACACAAAAAAATCTAGATTTTTATTATATGATTAATGTAATTGTGTAATTTATTTTAATAATAAATAAATAAACAAAATGAGAAAAAGTATAAAGATTGTTATCAAATCTTTATTGTTTAAAATCATTAATTGTCATATATATATTTTAATCATATTAGGTAGTTCCGTACGTTTTATTTAAGGAAAGCATGCGAAACAATAAATATTTGATATATACGACCAACTATAGCCTACGAAATATTATATTGTTAGAAAGTATAACTTTTAGACTATACATTATATCACATGCTCTAGAATCCTTGGAATTTGAAATAGAAGTCAAAGAGCTATGCCACATAGGATTGGAGTTATTTTTAATTCTTACAAACTTAAGGTTATAATTTTTTAAATGATTCTCAAATAATATATAGGGGATTCTTGATGATTTTAACCACAATAGGACAGATCTAAGAGATATATGTGATTTGGGAACATAAAGCATACAACAATATTTCTTTTTCAAATTTCGATTAATGCTCCGATTAACACCAAATCACAACGATGGATATCTGCCCCACGTATTTCCACCGTTAACTGGCCGCGAAGGTCACAATTTTGAACAAGATTTTTAAATAATAACCATTTTCATTAATACCTTAATTTTGTGTGTGTGTTTTTAACGTTTTTACTTTATTGATATCAAATCAATGTAACTGATTACATGAAACATAAATTATAACAAACATGTTGTTAGTAAGAACTTTAAACAAAGACAACATTAACACGATGCTTCCTAACGCATTCGTAGGATAGGCTGACTCGCTAGATTTCCTCCATTTTGTTCTTGGTCTTATATGATCTTTTTTGTAACTCTCAACTATTGTGAGTAAACACTTTTTCCCTGAATAAATCATTGGATGCAATGCATCAGTTACATCGCAATACATCTCAAACACTCCCGCTGCAGTAGATAACATGTTTTTTTTTTTTGTAATTGTCCATGACATAATTTTTTTTTGCTTTGACACCAATAAAGCAATATCTTGATTCGTTTTGTTGCAGAAATATCTTTGGATTTCCTAGTATTTCCTCTCCATTCCTCTGTATTTTATTATCAGATAAAGAAATTGTTTCCATCAATTCCTCTGAGAAAAGTATCCGAAAGTGAACTCATCGCTTGGCAGAAAACTTTGATCTTTCTCACCGTAACAACCAACAGCACATAATCTTGAAAGAAAGTGATTGGCATAAACAAAAGGAAGGGCACTTGTCATCTTACAATCTTGGACATGAGACTCCAAAAGTATAACTCAATGTGTATATACCATATCTTCAATACCGTGTGTATAACAAGCATGCATCTTTTAAAATCCCCAAGCCATGGCAGTTATTTATCTCGATTCCTTGTGTACACTGTAAGCTCAAGAATCTGGAGCTTGAGAGGTTGCTGCAGTGGTGAAGTTTTGGTTCGCGTACTTGTGTTACACACAGAGAATGGTGTGTGGCACACGCTTCGGAGAATAAAAAGGATTCGACAAGATGCGAGAAAATAGAATATTCCCATATATTTGGCTGACGAAATATGTATTAAAAAGGGATTAGTGGGCTTAATGAGCTAGGGTTTTGCTTATCCAAGTATAAAGAGAACAACGCATGATAGGAAGCGGCTACGCGTTTAGAGTTTATTGAAGATGCACATGGATGTGTGAGACGTCGTCTTACCAGACAGATGGAGATCTGTTGGTAGTTTTGTTATGGAGAACTATACTTGTCAGAGTAGTAGTTTCTTTTTCATTGTAATTCTAGATTAGAGTGGTAGGCACGGGTGGTACTGGATACCAAGTAACGTTAATTGTGTTCTATTCTACTGAATGAGTTCTGGACGTGGTCCCGGGGATGTAGGAAACAAACCTTGTTAACAAATCTCTAT